AACCTGTCTCTAGCCTGAAGCTCTAGGTGAGCTTAACCTGCTAATCTGCCCTGGTGAGCCAACCTGAAGATTCCTATGTGGAATTAACCTGAAGACTTCTATGTGGAGTTTACCTGAAGATTTCTATGTGGAATCAGCCTCCTGAAGATTCCTATGTGGATTTAACCTGAAGACTTCTACGTGGAGTTTACCTGAAGAATCCTATGTGGATATTCCCTGTTGTTCTCTGCAATGAGTTGGAAGCTCAGATCAAGGTCTGCCATGCTAATCCTGAAGCTAGACGCTTAGCTTCTCATGAACTTTGCTAACCAACAGTCTCAGGTCCCAGTCAAGACTTCAGTGAACCAGTGTCAGAACTTGTTTATGATCTCGTGTTCAGAACTTTGAATAAACCTTTGAACTTTTTCCCTGCCTCCTCCGTGTGTGTTCTGCATATGGGCTTGCTCCTTTGATCCATCATGACAAAAAATAGGTTTGTATAAACATTGTCGGTAAGGTTAAGTCAATATAGTAAAAAATGGCCCATACAGGTTCTTTTAAGTCTAACGCCGATTCAGAATATTTTGTCTTAGGTCAAAGGCAACGCTATAGGGAACTGCCTCACGGTGGGGCCCTTGGCATTCATAAGAATGCGCCAAAGGCAGCATTCTACAGCACACATTGCCCAGAAAATCGTTCCACGATTAATGGTTTGTGCCTAAACTGAAATCTTAATTCCAATGTAAATTGTAGTTGACAATACAGAAATTGATTGATTGATTGATTGATTGATTGATCAATCAATCGATTGATGTGATGCAATGCTTATTTTTTGGGGCTGAATTTTTAAGAGAAAATTTGTTTTTTTTCCTTCATTTACATGGCAGCAAATGTTACACTAGTCTAAATGAAAACACAAAAATTTGACATATGAAAGAAGACATTAACAATGTATAGCAAACAAAGCGATCAGCAATGCATGCACCTTACGTGATGCCAGGGCTTGACTGATGAATGCACTAATGAATCATTGGATGCATGAATGTATTGGCCTGCCTTTTGATACTATTAGAAAACACTAATAATGTAACACTAAAATTATCACCCTGCTAATGTACTGGTCTATGTCTACACTGACTAAAAGTATATAACAGGTTAACATAGTATTAATATGATTACAGTAAAAAAAAAAATACATTTTTAAGTCACACACCACTGTTAGTAAAAGCAGAATATATGCTTATTGAGTTTAGACAATCTTTTAAATCAATATAACATTGTCCAAAATAATCATATTTTGCTCTTTAGTTCCTGGTTCTCCGTTTTTGTAGATTTTTTTTTTTTTTGTATTTTACTTGTGTTACCCTTTTTTGTTATTAAATTTCAAGAAACCGCTTCAGCTTCATTGTCTGCAGTTGGGTCCTGTCAAACCTCCACCCAACTTGACACCCATTACTGACTTTATAATAAGTTCAATGGTAAAGCTTCGGTATTAAACAAAGCTACCATTAGTGCGTGCTCTCAATTTTAACCAAAAAAAATCAAACGTTATTTATGAATAAATTTGTTCTCTAGCGTGAACACAACTTACTAATGTCAATTACATATATATATGTGTGTGTATGTGTGTGTGTTTATATACGTTTAGATTAGAAAGCAGAATTTAGAGTCTAGAATCATAAGGCTTCTGAACTCAAACAAGGTCACTGTTTACAATTTAACTACCCAACACTGTCTCAGCAGCACAGCAAGGCTGCGTTTAGTCTACAGACAGCTATTACATTAAAAGATGAAATAAACCTTAGCAGTGTTATAGATATATTGAATATCAAAGGAAGCATGGGTTCATGGTTTATATTCAAATTTTTCTAAACGTAGCATCATCTTCTTAGTGATACTGTTTATAAAAAAGGCAGGGAACCTCTATCTTTATAAGGAGATTAATTCCATTTCTATTTCTGTGGAGATAAAGCATTATTTTTCCTTTTCACTCCTATGTCCCCATAAATGTATGTCTGACTTGTTTTCTTTCTATTGGCAGCCTTTTAGTAGTGTTCATAAAATTGGCTCAGATTGCTCCATGTATTTTTACCAGCTAGAGAACTAGGCTATTGGCATTTGTGTATATTAGCTACCAGGCTACAGTATAAATCTGTATTGATGATATGGCAGCCCCTATGGGACAAGGTAGATGAGAGCCAATCCTGGAGCTTATTGACTGGTGTGGAATTGCTTTTGTAATATTGTTTAGGAAGACAGATGACTGTGAAAGAAACAAAAGA